AGTGCAGTATCCCCTAAGGGATTAGTTTTATTATAAGTCTTTCCCTTCTAACTGATGGTTTTTTGAATTATTTTTTTTGCAATTTATTGTTTACTTAGTGTTTTGGGATCTACGGGAAAGAGTTTTTTTTTATTCTAATAATACGAATTAATAAAAAAACAAAGTTTGCGATACAATATTACTTTAATCTTTGAATGGAGATGGAATATCATTTACTGCCTTTAAAGAATCTTGATCATTCATAAATTATTTAATCTTATTTTACACTTCAACATACTAAGAACATTATTTTATACGTTAATATACTGCTAAGAACATAAAACGAATGCAAATAAGATTGATGTAATATGTGAAGTAAATGATTTTGTTTAATCATATTAAAATTAAATAATTTTCATATCCGATATCATTAGATCGCTCGAACTTTTTATGATGCTTTTTAGGATTGAATTTTTAATTATATTAACTCTGATTAATAATTATATCCTTAGAAAGTTCAAAATTTGTCACTTTAACAACGTTAGTGGTCCTTGTCCTTTAGTCGATCCTACTATCTACCGGATAGGACCGAAATACAGATTCGTATAAAATAACAATAAATAAATAAACGCCGCTGATTTATTTTTACTATATATAGTTGATCTATCTATTAAAATTTTCCTTCCTATGTAATGTACAGAGAGGACAAAAATAAATCTAGTACGTACTTTTTTAAATAAGAAAAAAGTTGATATCATAAAAAATGCTGGACCAATAAAATTTGACAGTTGATGCACAAAAAATTATAAAAGGACCTGACAATTAATTCACTGACCCGGCCATTTCTTCTGGTAATCTTTGAAAAAATGGCATCAAGACTTCCAAAAGTTTCATTTCCTGTTTCCTCTTCATTACCCTCTCTTGTTACTACTACTGCTACTACAAGGACAAAATGTAAGTTTTAAAGAAAAAAAAAATTATAGATATTAATCAACTTTAACGAGAAAAATTCTTTTTAGACATCATCGGAGTCTGTGCCATGGACAGTAAAGCACGTTCTAAACCCATGAGAAATATCCTAAATCGACTCTTGTCATTTGGGGAATTCGAAACTGTAATATTTGGAGATAATGTTATACTTGACGAAGGTAATTTAAATTTTTTTTATTTTTTATTTTTTATTTTTTGAAAATTACTAAAGTTATTTTAATTATTCTAAATTATCTTTAGATGTTGAAAATTGGCCAATTTGTGATTTTTTCATCTCTTTCTTTTCAACTGGCTTTCCTTTAGATAAAGCCATAGAATACGTTAAATTACGTAAACCATTTTGTGTTAATGATTTACCAATGCAGAAACTTTTATGGGATAGACGACTTGTCTTAAAATTATTGGATGTTTTAAAAATACCTACACCAAAACGTTTAATTGTTAGTAGAGATGGTGGTCCAAAAATTGATCCTGATTTAAAAATTCAAGTTTCAAAGAATGTTGGTATTCAACTTAAAGAAGAATATTGTCCACCTAATGTTGTAATTGAAAGGCCTGATAATGATACTATTAGTGTAAATGGTAATTTATTACGAAAACCTTTTGTTGAAAAACCTGTCAATGGTGAAGATCATAATATATATATTTATTATTCTTCTGAAATGGGTGGTGGTGGTCGTCGATTATTCAGAAAGGTAATATTATCATTTTTAAAATATATAAATAATAATATAGTTATAAATATAATAATAATATATATAAAATTAAATAGTTTAAAATTTATATAATTTTGTATAGGTAGCAAATAAAGCGAGTGAATTTGATCCTGATTTAACAGCACCTCGCGATGAAGGTTCTTATATTTATGAAGAATTTATGGATGTTGACAATGCAGAAGACGTTAAAGTATATACCATTGGAAATACATATGCTCACTCAGAAACTCGTAAATCTCCTGTAGTTGATGGACTTGTAAAAAGGAACCCTGATGGTAAAGAAGTTCGTTACGTTGCTACACTGACAAATGAAGAAAGAAAAATGGCTAGTGATATATCTGTTGCATTTGGTCAAACTGTGTGTGGGTTTGATTTACTTAGAGTTCATGGAAAATCTTACGTTATTGATGTAAATGGTTGGTCTTTCGTAAAGGGAAATGACGAATATTATAGTAATTGTGCTCGAATTTTACGAGCCATGTTTTTAAGTGCTGTTCGAAGAAGAAAGGTTAGCATAGACTTAATACCAAATGAACTTAGATTTGAAAACTCTTGGCGTCTTAAATCTTTTATAGCTGTATTTCGTCATGCTGATCGTACTCCAAAACAAAAAATGAAATTCTCTTTTCGAAGCAAACCTTTTCTTGATTTACTTGATGGTACTAATGAAGAAGTTATGATACCTAAAAATGATCTCAAGAAAGTGTCGAATGCTACAATAGCTGCTACTAAATTACATTATGATGACTTAACTAAATTAGAACAACTTAAATTAATACTACAATTGAAGAGTGATTTACCTGGAACTAAAGTACAAATAAAACCTTCTTATAACAAAGATAATCATTCAATTGAAAAAGTTCAACTTATTGTTAAATGGGGTGGCGAAGTAACTATCTACTTTCTTAAATTTTATTATATTAAAATATATATATTTATATATTTGTATTTATATATATTTGTATTTATATATATTCTCTATGAACTTCATTTTTAGTTTACACATGCTGCTCTTTACCAATCACGAGATCTTGGAGAAAATTTACGAAAGGATTTGATAATTATGAACAAAGATGTCTTAGATGATGTAAAGATATATACGAGCTCAGAAAGACGTGTTGTCGCAACGGGTATGATATTAAAGTGTATAAAATTTCTTCAAATAACTAAATATTATAGATATTATGAATATTATGAATATTGGAGAATATACTCTAAATATTCAGTATTTTATAAAATAGTATATTGCCTATATATAACAATAATAATGTTGGCTGATATTTTTAAACTTATTAAACTTATAAATTTATATACTGGTATATATAACGTTATTATGCGTAGGATATATAACACGTTATTTGCCATTTCTAATAATGTAAATATTTTTGAGAGAATTCAGCTACTTTGAAATATTAATATTTTATATTAAAAAATCATAAAAAAAATTATATTTATATATGCGTATTAAAAAATTCTAACTTTTTAAAAAATTTTCAAATTAGCTGAAATATTTGCTGGGACTTTTATGGATGCAAATGAATCCCCGGAAAAAATTATTGAAACTCGAAAAGAAATGTTAGATGACAGTAATTCAGCTAAGGAACAAATGGATGAAGTGAAACTTAATTTGAAATCTCTTTTAAAACCTAATGAACCTTTGAGTGTGGATTGGACTTGGCCAAAAGATCAACCTGAACCATCTATTGTAGTTCAAGAAGTTATTGATATAATGAAACATCTTCGTCAAGTAATGCATGAAAATTTTGAACGAATGGATTATGATAATATTCAATCTCGATGGTGCTGTGCTGAAAATCCATTGCTTTTTAAAGAGCGGTGGGAAAAATTATTTAAAGATTTTTGCGATGTGGATCGTAATTCGTTTGATCCAAGTAAAATATCTGAACTTTATGATTCTTTCAAACATGATGCATTACATAATCGACAATTTTTGGAAACCATTTTTGTTGATCAAAATGGTGACAAGAGTACAGCTGAACTGAAAGGATTATATCAACGCGCAAAAATCTTGTTTGATTTTGTTGCGCCTCAAGAATATGGTATTGAAAATAAGGAGAAACTCTTAATTGGACTTCTACTATCAGATTCATTGTTAAAGAGTATCATAGAAAATTTAGAGGTATCAGAAATTAATCTTTTTTATTTTATTATATACTGTATAACCTATATTATTAATAACGTTATCAATGATATTTTTTTCAGGAGTCTAAATCAAATTTAAAGCCAAGTACAAGATTATATTTTACAAAAGGTAAAAATTATATAATTCGGTTTTTTTAATAATATGATAAGAAATATTAATACATATTTTTTGTTTACTAGAATCTCATGTACATTCTCTTCTAAATGTTGTGTTCTTATCTGGCCTTCCCACAAGAATTCCCAGGAAAGACGTTCCGGAACTTGATTGTGAATAATAAATTTTATTAAATTTAGGGAGGTGACAAATATCAGTACATTATAAAGGATTGAATAAATGTCTCGTGTAGTAATCACGACATGAGAGGAGTCTATCTAATAGCGATTTATAATGAACTGGTATTTGTCAATGCTTTATTGGTGGTTTTTTTTTATTTATAAATATAGTTAACAAATTTTCTTATGAATGGGAAATTCGTTTTAAAAGACCTCACCCAGATAACTTTTGAACTCTATGAACGTCATCGCGGTTTATCTGGTGAAAAGGAATATTCTCTGCGCGTGGCGTTTAGTCCTGGAGCCTATTCTCCAAATATTTTAGATTTAAATCTAGATGCTAGGCATTGTTTGATCGTAGCACCAAGAAAGTGAGTTTATCAAATGTATTATCATACTCATTATTAAATACTTATATTAAATACTTATCTTTTGTCATATTTTAGAAATCTTACGGATCACTTACCCCTAGACGAGGCACTCTCTTATTATAAAAATAAAGTTTATAGTCATCCTGCAAGTGTTATCGCGGAGCCGATTAAACAGAATGTTCGCGAGCCACTTCTTTCGTCATCACCTTTTTTTGATTTTAATCTTAGTAAATCCTTTTAAGTTTTACTAATTCTGTTCATTATAGAAAATTTTATTTATTGTAAATTAGTTGTATTGATATATAACTTGTAAACGTTTTTCATGTAATTTGTATTTGTACACCCTTTGTATTAATTAAATTATGACGTTTATATATTCAATTTTTATGACTGAAGATAAATTTTAAACAAATGTTTTTATTATATAAAATTTAAACCACGAACATAATCTACTTACATGAGATTTTTACTGGTGGTAAAATGTGTATTTAAGAAGTTCGATAATAGGGATTCTGACTTATAAAATTTTATCAACTGCCAGGAAGAAAAACTTAACATTTTAAAGGTATTGATTGATGTTAATTGGCATCTGGGTAGAGTTGTTAATGGAATGCTCCAAGCTATAATAACCATTCCAATTTAAAACTGGGGTGGTTTATATATTTTATTATAGTTTGGAGTACTCCATTAACAACTATACATACCTCTGGGTAGCAATCCTTTTTACTATATACTATATAATTACCAATAATTTATCTTGATAGTCCAATAGTGGTTTACCAATAAATGAAAAAATAAACAAGAGTATCTGTCTCTAGAAAATTTTAACTACTATATAGATATGTTTTTTATCTTTTAAACTAGCTATAAAGTCACTCTCGATATAGTGAAGATTAATTAAAATCCTCGATACAGTGAAGTTTTATTCAAAGCAAATCTATATAAAATTCTCGATCACATCTGACTTGTATATAGTATTAGGGATTTATTGTATATTTTATCAACTCTTTTAAAATATCCATTGGTTTTCTTTTAACTTAATAATTAAGCTTGTTTAAATATATAAATTAATCATTTATTATTTATTTATTTTACTTTATTTTGTTAATAGTTTTTCAGATCATTTATTATTTTCTAACAGAAAGGTCACTCATGCTTTTCATAGTTATTGCAAATTTACATCTTGAATAAAATATCTGTATATTGCGGTTACGATCTGTTATTTTTATGATTATACCTGTTTACATTATAAATAATAGATTTTGAAGAGAGGATTAATTTGTGTGAAATTTTAAGATTGCACTTCTACCATTTTTTAGAATGTTATCCATTTATCGTTATCTAGTCTGCCAAAAAAAAAAAAAAAGAAGAAATCATTACTTATTTCTATCTCTGAAGTTATGCATATCTATATTCTTAAATTTCTTATAAAACCAAGAAAACTATATATATAGACTGAAATAAATAACTTAATCACAGCTTTTATTTGGCAAAGCCACAGGTTACTCGGTTTGCTCAGAAGATCTAGCAGGGCCAATAAATTGGCTTGACTTTGCTAGCTAACATTTTTAACAACTGGTACAAAACCTGGATCTAGTTTAAATACAAGATCTTTCATAGATTTTAAATCTCGTTCAATCGCCTTTATATTATCGCGTGCATCCTTTTAAAAGATTAAGAACAAATTTAATTGTTTTTGATCATTCAAATAAAAAATTAAAAAAAGAATAAAAGATAAACCTCAACGATTTTCTCAACTTTATCCAACCCACTATTTGCTTGAGACAAAGCACGAGTTACTAGAGACAAATGATCATTTGAATGATTTACTAATTCTTGTCGGAATCGATGGCTTATTTCGCCTTTTTAAGGACAATATGAATTAAATAATTATATTATTAATAAATTATAAAAGAAATGGAAATATACTTACTTAATTCTTGTTGAGAAGTTAGGGTCCTAATAAAAATTTATTAATAATAAGAGAATTATTAAAATTTTAATTATCCAATAATTTACTTACTTGTTTGTCGAACTGGTCATTGTCGTTAATTAAGAAAATTACATAATAATTCTAAATGACGATATATAATTTTTCATATTAATCACGTGAAACGAATCATCTGCGAGTTGTTACGTATACCGTAAACTTACCGTTACAGTTATTATTTTTTAAATGTATCAACCTCCACATCCTCATACTATACATCCACCGTCTTCATCGACGCCACCTATTAACACCTTTTCGAATCCTCAAAACATTCTTCGCTTCCGTGACTTTCACGCTAGACACTTTACTCAAAAAAATTTTTTTTTACACGCACTAAATCCAAATCCAAGACCTTTATGGTGCAGGGCTGAAGGCTTAGAAAATTGGGAGCAAGAACCCGAGCTTGCCGAAAATTTTGAAGAATGTAATGAGGGGGAATGGAATGGAGAGGAATGGAATGAAGAAGGGAACGAAGTATGGAATGAAGAAGGGAACGAAGTATGGAATGAAGAAGGGAACGAAGTATGGAATGAAGAATGGAATGAGGAATGGAATGAAGAGGAAGAGAAAGTGGAATTTGTATTGAGCGAGGAAGCTATCTCAATGTTTCGGTTTTCTGAATTAAGAAAACAACAACGTAATTTCTTCGATCTCCTATTAGATATTAATTCAAATTGGCATTAAGCATTCATTGTTTTTATCTTTAGTTGCAGAAGCCAATTCATCATCTACTTCTCAAATTCAATCCTCCGAGAAATGTGATGATTCATCTACACCTATATATCTTACCTCTGAACCAGATCCATCTTTAATTTCACCAACAAACTTGACCACTGTAGAATTACAACAATTATACGGTGATTCTTATCCGTCTATAACCATTTTAGAAGCAGCTGTGAATTCTACTTTTATTCAAAGTTGTAAAGTTGATAAAAATCACAATGATAACATAACTGGAAATCCTAGTAAGGCAGTATATTGGCCTGCTGTACCTTTAAGATTTGCTTTATAGATAATGATGCGATAAAGATAAACTAAAGTAAGCAATCAATTCAATTATATTATCATATGAGATCTTTGCTAGGAAAAATTGTTCCTCCAGACTATATAAATTTGATAAAATAAAAAATAAATTCGTTAGCCAGATAATTATACAATTTAAATAGACTTTAAATAATTCAAATTGGTAACAAACGATTCATCAAATCTACGTAATCCTGGAGGGTCATTATCCTAGCAAAGACTCCATATTCTTATATCTATTATTCAACATTTTATCCACGATGATGATATAAAGTCTCATCCTTGTACTTTGAACGATCATACTTTTTGAGTTTTGATCATTGTGACGACAACATAATCGGCCAAAATTTAAGTCTGAGTGGATGAGCATTTTGCATAAAAATTTTAAACTTAATATAAAAAAATTGATTAATCTATTCTCTGAATTATTATTATTAGTTTGAAGTGTAATTGAGATACTTCTTATAACGTCGTAGCGAACGGTGATACTACTAGTCTAATTGAGTTCGCCGGGACTAATTATATAGATTCTGATCAATTGTTGAACAATGTCTAAAATTCAACATCAAAAATTGTAACTACATATAGCGCTGTAGCGCATATAAAATTTTTTAAAATGAGCGCAAAACGAAAAGTTCTAATGTATGTAAACTTTATTTTTCGCATAATAAAAATATAGCGCACATTAAAGCTTAAAACATATATAAATTTAAATTTTTTTTTTTGGGCGCATTTCGTCCATAATTTTAAATTCTATGGGTGCAAATAGCGCACACATTGTTAATATCTAAGGTGGAAACCTTCTTAATGTGTGCTCCATCTCTTTCGCACATTAGTTTTAGACATTGTTGATGAATTGAGTGAACAAATAAATAAAAATATTAAGGGCGATTTTAATACTCACCAGAGGTGACATTCACCGGGGTGCTATCTCAAAAACGTACCAAGTAAGTAAAAATGTTCAGGATCCTCGAAAACCTCACGAGAACTGAAATCGGTACCTTATATCAAATTTACATTATGTTCAGTGTTGGACAAATTAGTGGTCGACCGAAAATTTACTAGTCAAATTGGTCTGGTCAAATTGGTCAAATCTATTATATAAATATAATACGAATATTATATAATAAATTATATTTAATATACTATTTGACCAATTTGACCAGACCGGTCAGATTGGTCAAATTGGTCTAGTCCAATGTCAAACTGGTCTGGTCAAGCCAACACTAATTATGTTATATAAAACTCCTCCTTTATCCTAAAACTGCACCCTAATTCTAAAAATTCTTAGGCTGGTGATTTTTACCTCTGGTTAAATCTAAATTATTTCAAATACTGTATTAATAATAATGAAACATATCTTATCGATATAAAAAAAAAAGAAAATTACTATTGGTGATTATTACTAGTTTACTTTAACAAAATTTCTTATTATAATATACAGTATATTTAACAAAAACATCTAGGTAGTAAATATAATTTTATAAATTAATTCTAAAAAAAAACAATGCAATTTAAATTACAAACTTTTTTAACTAATAGCAGCTACAGCCATGCCTCTATATAATCACCTCTATAATTACATAATATAAAAAAACTCTTTTTATTATATTCTGTACTCAAGGACAAATTATTATTAAACTTATAAAAAACTACCTCTATATATAAGCATATTTTTTAAGAGTGTGGTGATGTAGTATAGTGGTAAAGTTGTCACACTAGGGTTGTTAATGGAGCACTCCATTGGCTTCATTTTAATAGTAATACTCCAAAGTATTCCAGAGTATTACTGCCAACAGAGTGCTTTAACAACTCTATATCACACTTCACGTAACTAAGATACTAAGTTTGAATTACATTGAACAAAAATACTTGTATTATAGTAATACTTGTATTATAGTAATGGATAAGTTGGGTTTTTATTTGTAACTCTGGTTATGACTAGAGGTGCAGGCGAATCATCCCAATGATGTCCCAATGATGTTACGAACTAGCTAAAGCTTATGTCGTAACTAGTTATGGCAATCATTGGGACGATTCGTCTGCATCTCTAGTTACGACCCACCTAGTATCGCCACCAAAATCATGTACGTAATCGGGGTTTAAATTTATTTTCCGATATTAAATTTAATAATTTACACTGTACAATAATGACGACATTTGATTAATAGTAATAATAATAATATAAGAATAACTATTTATGTTGGAAATTTTTTTTTTTTGAATATTGTAAAATTCATTTGTCTAACTATAAAACCCATTTTAAGTGATATTTGCAAGCAAAAAAGAATATGCTGTAAAATCCGAAGAGATTAAACATATGTTTTATGAAAAGC